ATCCGTTTCTCAACCCAGTGTCGCCCACTGAACTTCTGACGTAACTCAGGCTGTACAAGCAAAGCCACGAGCTGCAAAGCTTCCTACAACACAGGCCCCATCTGAGTAGCAGGACCAGCTGGGCCTCTTTAGATAGCAAGTCGTTGGGCCCCCTCCCTGGGCAAAACCACGCCCACTCTAGGATGGATGGCACCTGAGGCTTAGCAGGTCACAGACAGGAAGGACCCCAGAAACCACCCAGTCCTGCTTGTTCTCCTCTTTTACAGATCCAGAAACTGAGAAGAGGTAAAATAAAATAAAATAAAATAAATAAAATGTCTTCCTTTGTACCCTAGCACAAGTATTTCCTGCTATGATTTAATTCTTATTCTGGCACTTCTGGTTCAGATTTCACAAAGCACTTTTCGAGGGCAGGGGTTGGCCAATATGGCCCACCACTTGGGTTTGTAAATAAAGTTTTATTGGAACACAGCTACACCTACTTGTTCACATATGAGCCACAGGAGCCTTAGTGCTCCAACAGCAGAGTTGAATAGACTCAACAGACCCTACAGCCAACAGAAGCTGAAAACATTACTCTCTGCTCCTTTTCAGAAAAAGTTTGCTCAGCTCTGGTTCCAGGAATCAGCAGGAGCCTGGGTTTTAAATCAGTTCTGAAACTGTTATTGGTAAGACTAGAAAAATAATGTTTTGATTCTACCCATCTGATTTCCCTTCTTTTTTATTTTTAAATTTTTTATTTATTGATTTGAGAGAGAGAGAGGAAAAGGGAGGAAGAGAAAGAAAGAAATTGTTGTTTCACTTATTTCTGCATTCATTGGTTGATTTCTTGTATGTACCCTGACCGGGAATCAATCCTGCAACCTCGTTGTACCTGAACAGTGCTGTAGCCAATTGAGCTACCCAGCCAGGGCTACCCTTCTGCTTTATCTCTGGATGTTTTATCTATCATGTATTAATATTTTCTGTGTGACAGACGTTGAAGTACCTCCTCTGTTATTACTCCTGGTAAGTCAGGTGTGCTTTAGCTAAAGATAAGACCTGGAGGAGATTTTTTTTCTTTGTGTATTAGTTGTAGTAATTGTATGAGTAGAAACTTAGCCTCCTCAACTATTTGCTTGTCCTGAGAAATGGTTATAAATGAAAGGCAAGATGAACACTGGATTTTTGTTCTGTGTTTAAAACTTTTGTGAGTTGACTTCTTAGCATCTTCCAAAGGCAGCTACTAAATAGCTTTTTCTAAACGGATCCAATAAGGAAAAAGTCCCCCTTTCCTCTTTGGCTAAAAGTCTGTAAGACTGTAAGCCTGCAATTGTCACTATGAGCCTCAGGCTCAGAAGCACAGCTGGTTTGCGTAATAATGATAACGCAAATAAATAGAGATAAGAGACGGAAGCAAAGTCTAAGTGGTGTTTGAGTACAGGAGGCAGTTGTGTGAGGCTGTCTCTAGCTTGGTATTTTCCTTAGTTTGATTACATGATTCAATCCTTTCTTCCTTCCTATCTTCCTTCCTTCTTTCCTTCCTCCCTCCATCCCCCCTCCCTCCCTCCCTTCCTTCCTTCCTACACACTTCTTGTGTTTATTATCCCATGTACATATATTTCAAAACTAGGCAAAACCAATCTATAGGGGAAGAGATTACAATGATCGTTACCTCTGGAGGGATGTAGTATTCACTTGCGAGAGAGCAAGGAGGTCTTCTGGGATGATTGGCGAGGTTTGATTTCTTAATCAAGATGCTGGTTTCAAGGGCGCGTCACTTTGTGGAAAGTCATTGAACTGTTCTTTATAATTTGTATGTTTTTACACATGCACACTATTCTGCAATAGAAAGTTTCCTTTAGGAAAAACCTACATCCATAATATCATATGATAATGTTGTTCTGCAACTTGAATGGAACATTATGCTTTTCATATGTATCCACCTTGTCCTGTTTGATCTAGTTCAGTTCACTTCCTTTTAAGGTAAGTTTTTCTTAACTATGTCATTTCCAGTCAAGTGTCTGAACAACTCTAATAATGGAAGATGGGCTGGATGAAATAGAAATGCTTATATTTCAATAAATTGAAGACACAATTTAAATGAAAAAGAGCCTTTCAATAGAGGGCACTAGGGTAATTGATGATCTAAATGGAAAAATTACATCTCCTCACACCATCGATAAGAATCAATTTCAGCCCTGCCTGGGGGGCTCAGTTGGTGGTTGGTTGGAGCGTTGTCCCGAACACCCAAAGGTTGCAGGTTCAATCCCTGGTTGGAAACTGATGGATGTTTCTCACGGTGATGTGTCTCTCCATCTCTTCCTCTCTCTCTCAAATCAATAAACATACCCTCAGGTGAGGACTTAAAAAAAAAAGAATGAACTTCAGGTAAAGTAACTTCAGATAAAGTGCACATCTCAGCGTCTTTTAGTATACTCACAAGGTTATGCGACCAACACCACTCTCTATTTTCACGTTTTCTCATCCCTGCAGCAGGAAACCGCCTGCCTTTCTGCAGTCTCTTCTCATTCCCCCTCCCCAGCCACCTGCAAGCCACTGACCTGCATGCTGTCTCTAAGGATTTATTCATAAATGGGATGCTACAATGTGTAGCTTTTTGCGTTTGACTTCTTGCACTTATAATAATAATGTTTTCAAGGTCCATATATATTGTGGCTTGTAAGAGTGCCCCATCCCTTTTTTATGGAGGTACAATATTCCATGGTAGGGTTAACAACTGAATGCTGCACAGTAAACAATGAACCAGGCCCACAAAAACCATCTGGATAAGTTTCAAAAGCCTAATGGGGAAGGCAATAAAAAAAGGTCACATAATTGTAACGTGCACTATGAACTCATCCATATATATGTATATATGTCCCCCATAGATTTAGTTTTTAATTAATTTTTTTAGTTACAGTTAAAATTTAATATTATTTTATATTAGTTTCAGGTGTACAACATAGTGATTAGACATTTACGTAACTTACGAGCTGATCTCCCAAGAATTACAGTGCCCACCTGGCACCGTACATAGTGACTAGAATGTTACTGTCTATATTCCCTGTGCTGTAACTTATATCCCCATGACGATTTCACAATCCCAACCTGTACTTCTCAATTCCTTCACCTTTTTCACTGAGTCCTGCCACCCTTTTCCCCCTCCAGCAACCATCAGACTCTTCTCTGTATCTGAGTCTGTTTCTGTTGAGTTCATTTATTTATTTTTTTTAGACTTCACGTATGAGTGAAACCGTATGATATTGGTCTTTCCCTGACTTATTTCACTGAGCACAGTATCCTCTAGGTCCATCCAGGCTGCCACAAATGTTCAGATTGCATTCTTTTTATGGCTGAGTAATATTTCATTGTATATATGTACTACATCTTTTAGATCCACTTGTCTATTGGTGGACACTTGGGTTGCTTCCAAATTTTGGCTACAGTAAATAATGCTTCAGTGGCCATAGGGGTGCATACATTCTTTTAAACGAGTGTTTCATATGTATATATCAACATAAAACAGTGCCATATGTGGACTATTAATAGATGGCTGGGTTGTGAAAGTATGAAAAACACCCAGGAACAATATGCACAACCTTGAAAAATGTTTACTTTTGGAGAAGAGAGAAAGGAAAGAGATTGGGAAGCAAAACACTAGTGTTAAGAAAATAAGGTTGGTGTGGATATTTCCATTTATGTTATTCAGTGACTTTCTTTTTTAAAAAGAGGAAAGTCATTCCTCATATGCTTATGCATTAAGAGTATTTTTATATATTCCTGGCTGGGTATCTCCGTGGGTTAGAGTATCCCCCAGATCCTCCAAGATGGGTTGCAGGTTTGATCCCTGGTCAGGGTACGTACAAGAATCAACCAATGGCCCTGGCTGGTGTGGCTCAGTGGATTGAATGCTGGCCCGTGAACCAAGGGTCGCTGGTTCGATTCCCAGTCAGGGCACATGCCTGGGTTGTAGACCCAAGTCCCCAGTAGGAGGCGCTCGAGAAGCAACCATACATTGATATTTCTCTTTCTTTCTCCCTCCCTTCCCTAAAAATAAATAAAGAAAATCTTTAAAAAGAAAAGAAACAACCAATGAATGCGTACATAAATGGAACCACAGACCAATGTTTCTTTCTCTCTTTCATTCTCCCTTCCTCTCTCTCTAAAATCAATACACTTTAAAAATTTAAAAACGTTGAGGAAATAATACAAACAGAAATATGGTGGCAGTCACGTCAAAGAGGAAACTGGTCTAGGCGTGAGACTATGTGGCTGCTCAGCACAGCATGAGAGAGAATCGTGACTCAAATACATTTAGCAGCTGACCGGGCTACATGCTGCGTAGGGATGCTGTTGCTAGCTCATCACTGGCTCGTGTTCTGTGCTCCTTTTCAAAAGCCCTGTGTCTAGAGAATGCCTTACCTGACTGCAGCCCCACAGGCTTCTCTGGGGGACCATTTTCCATTTGCGTGGTGCTGTCCACAGCTCCCCAAGTGACTATGATGAGTATCACCAGCCCATATATGTAGGACATAGTCTTAGCTTATGGTTTTAAAAAAAAATGTTTAATGTTTTTTTAAAGATTTTCTTTCTTTATTTTTAGAGAGAGGGTAAAGGAGGGAGAAAGAGGAGAGAACACACGTCAATGTGTGGTTGCCTCTCATGCGCCCCCTCCATCCCCCCACTGGGGACCTGGCTTGCAACCCAGGCATGTGCCCTGATTGGGAATCGAACCGGAGACCCTTTGGTTCGCAGGCTGGCACTCAATTCAGTGAGCCACACCAGCCAGGGCTTAGCCTATGTTTTAAGTCAAACTATGCTAAAGCCAGACTCCAGATTTTAGGAAAACCCATCCAGTAATTTTTGAGAGGGCCAGAAGCCAGAAGAAAAACCTTAATTTTATTAGCATGGATGATGAGCTGATGACACAACGCGATGAGGATTTCCATGTGTCTAGTCACCTCAGCCACCTGAATCCAAACCCTCCTCCCCAGGGGAGAAGTCCTTTCTCCAGCCGCTCATTCACAAGATCCTGGGGGCTCCTCCTCAGACGGTGCCTTGTTGTTCACATCAGCAGAGGTGTCTTCCTGGGGGTCTTCAGTCTTTGGGGAACAAAGATGGGTACACGCCAGCATTTAGAACTGAGGTGTCTAATGTGGTAGCCTTGAGCCACACGTGGCTACTTAAATTTAGATAAATTAAAATTAAATTAAATGTAAAAATAAGCCAAGCAAGTCATGTTTCAGCCGAGATTAGGTGCGTTCATACGATGCAGGACGAGCCGTATTTCAAATGTGCGACAGCTACGCGCGGCTGAGGGCTGTGGTATCGGACGGCCCGGATACACAACGTTTTATGTTGGCCGTGCTTCACGGGGAATGAGGGTTTTGACTCTAGTATTAATGAAAGGGTTCTGACAACCAGTGCTGACTGGTGCCAGTAAAAGTCATTGCAAAGGTGTCTTTGAGAACTACCACCCTATGAGAACACCTACTGGCACTGTAATATTGTTTTTTTTTTTTGTTTTAAACAATTTTATTGAGGTATCATTTATAAATAAATAATGTATAATGTCCCTAGTAAGTTCCCACAAAATCCCCCTATTATAAGTGTACAATTAGATGACTTCCAGCACATTTGTAGAACGACGCAGCCAACACTTTGAGAACCTGCGTCACCCCTGGCCCGAGTCCCCTGGCGCCTGTCTGCAGTTCAACCTTGCTCTCCTGCCTCCCGCCCCCACCCCACACTCACTGCAGCCAGAGGCAACAACTTACTTGCCTTTTCTGGAGATTTTATATAACTGGAGCAATGCTATATATAGTCCTTTGTATCTGGCTTATTTCACTTAGCACAATGTTTTTGAAGTGCATCTGCTTACTACATGCATTGGTAGTTTCTTCCTTTTAATAGCGGAATAGTACTCCAGTGCATGAAGGTGCCATATCTTAATATTATATTGTTATAACATTATTAATAATTTCTGAACGAATCACATTAATCCAGCATGTGAAGTGGACTAGACTTGTTAGCGGGTGCTTAATTTGTGAACCATGCCTTTTTTTATAATTTTGAATATATTTACATTTATCTATCTACATCTGTAGATGTAGATTTATATCTAAATGAATGCAATGTGCATAGGTATTTTTTCAGCACGCCCGTGAACTCCTTGCACCTCCTGGTAATCGTCTATTTGCTTTGACATAAAGAATGAGCTGATGAACCTCTGTGTCCTGTGGGAAATGATATAAAGTTATCTGATGTCACTCTTAGAGGGAATGCTAATCAATGTGAAATCACAAATCAGCAGTATTTTCAGTAGTAAAACAGTCGGTGTATTTGATTAACATTTGTTCATTGATGCTTTCACATTGTCTACCTCACAATTAAGATTTGCCAGCAACTCCAGGAAGCCCTTTATGTTCATGACCTTGCTAGACTTGCACAAGCCTTTTCAATGGGGAGTTTCGTTGCCACTAGATAGGGGAGGAAACGCAGGGTTCAAATCCCAGGGACTGCCTGATTTGTCTCAGACAACACTGTTGATAAATAGGAGACATTGGGAGCTGAGATTCAGCTACTTTGTAATTTGAGGGCTATGGCTTTTTTGTTTGTTGTTTGATTATTTGTTTGTTTTTTGAGATATAATTGACATATGGCATTGTATAAGTTTAAGGTGTACAACCTATTGATATGATATATTTATATACTGCAATTCGCTCACCACTGTGATGTTAGCCAGTATTTCCAAAGGGCATGTAATTACCTTCAATTACCTTTTGTATGTGTGTCGTGAGAGCAACTTCCACCTGTCCTCTTAGTGACTCTGAAGTTTATAACATATATTGTGGGCTATACATATTGTGTGTTAGATCTTCAGGACATTTATTTACGAGTTACAAGTTTGTACTCCTAACCATCATCTCCCCGATTCCTCCGCCCCCCAGCCCCTCGTAACCACCATTCTACTCTCTGTTTTTAGGAGTTCGGTCAAAGCACATGTTTTTAGACACCATGGTCACGGGCCTCCTGATGGTGTGAGCTGGGGCGTTATGTAAGCAGAGTTCGGGGAAGCAGGTAGGACCAGCCCGGCTGCTAAGACAGCTCTTAGGGGAATTCCAATGGGGAGAACTCACCGAGAGAGATTCTCTTTCCAGCATGGATAAACCTGCGTGTGTGTGAGAATCAGAAACAAAAACACCTCAATTCTCAGTCAGCAGGAGTCCAGCTGCCCTCTGTTCTCTCCTGGGTTCTTCCCTTGTCACTTACCTGACGCCTCCTGCTTGGCAAATCCAGTTCTGAGAGAGAGAGAGAAACATACAGTCAAGTATGGGGGATGAAGATTTTGGAGGGATGATAAGGGCTTTGGAGAGGAGAGGAGGAAGGTCACAGCTCGGCCTGAGAGAGGGGTGTTGTCGGGGAACAGGGTGCAGTTGGGCCTGAAAAATGGGGTCTGGGCCAATGGGTCTCTGAAGGATGACGGGAGAGACCTGCCAAGTATATCGATCTACCTCTTGGTGGCTTCTTCATGTGATGAACCTATTAAAACACACACACACACACATACACACAGGGGGAGTTTATCAAATTAAAGAATCATTCCCTTTACTCCCCTGCCCCGATGGTTTTATTGGGCATTGCTACGAACTCACCTTGCCGATTGTATCTGTAGATGAGGAAGACAGAGGGAAAGAGGAGGAAGATGATGAGGCAGCTGAAGGTGGTGACGAAGATGATTCTGGTGTCTGGAAGGAGAGGAGCAGGTCAGAGAATCAGCTGGGCTTCTGGAACACACACTGACAGAATTTAGCAGAACAGGTAAGAGGAGCCAGACACCGTGGCTTCAAAACAGGGAGCTGCCTTATACCTCTCGGCATAAGGTCCATCCATTCTGTCACAAGTGGCAATATTTCATTCTTTTTCATGGCTGAGTAATATTCCATTGTGTAAATGCACCACAGCTTTTTTATCCACTCATCTACTGATAGGCACTTAGGTTGGCCAAAGTGCCTATCCATTGTAAATTGTAAATAATGCTGCAGTGAACACAGGTGCATGTATGTTTTCAAATTAGCGTTTTGGATTTCTTCAGATGAATACCCAGAAGTGGGACTGCTGTATCATGCAGAGGAAGATAAGAACCATATGATTTCTCTAATATGTGGCATCTAAAAAACAAAATAAATGAACACACACAGCAGAAACAGACTCATAGACACAGGGCACAGACTGGTGGTCGCCCGATGGGAGGAGGTTTGGAGGGGCTGGGTGACAAAGGAGAAGGGATTAAGGAATACAAACTGGCAGTTAGAAAACCGTCACGGGGATGGACAGTCCAGCACAGGGAACGTAGTCCCTAATATTGTAATAACTACGTGCCGTGCCAGGTGGGTGCGAGACTTATTCGGGTGATCAACATGTAAGGCATATAAATGCCTAACCACTATGCTGCACACCTGAAACTAATATAATACTGAATGTCAACTGCAATTGAAAAATGTTTTTTTCTTTTTAAAGTGGAGCTGTCGCTCCAGAGCGGGGATGTCCCATTGCTTGAAGTATTTTGTTTCATCTTCTCCCTTGAAAGGGAGGGCAGCGACAGCAGTTACTTCGCTGGACAACATTACGTGGGCCAGCATTTACAGAGCAGGCCTCGCACGTGAGAAATCCCCCACCAACATTTCACTGGCGGCGGGGATACTGGTTGGTTATGGTGAGTCGCTTGCGGCAGGTTCACGCGTGCTCTTTCTCACCTTGACAATACGCCCGCAAGATTGGTTCACCATCCCCATTTCATTCATAAGCCAACCAAGTACCAGGGAGTCAGATGCGTTTCCCCAAGGTCACGCGGGAAGGATGGACTTGGATCCTGGTGTGTCTACCCCATCAGGCCAGCCTGCCACACGGCCAGGGGGGCCATGGGGCGCCCAAGTTGGAGAGACGCGATATTCTGAACCTGTGCCAGGGAACTGATAATCTGGGGAGATAGCATGTACCCGACCAGCTGTAACACTGCAGAGGTAGTGGCAGGTTCCGGCACAGGGGAATGAAAGCCCACGCTCTCCCCGAGCCCAGGAATCGTTGTCTGCATGGTGTACGTACAACATGAACTACGCCGTGAGTGAGAAGGGCAGCATGCCATTTGCAACAACATGGAGGGACCTGGAGGGCGTGATGCTAAGTGAAAAAGGCCAGACAAAGCCAAATGCTGTATGGTATTACTTATATGTGGAATCTTAATAATAAGAAGAAGAATAACAATAATAATAATGTCACAGAAACAGAGTAGAATATTGGTTGCCAGGAGGTGAGGGGCAGGGGAAATAAGGAGAGGTGGTAAAAGGATACGGGTGTGGCTTGGTTGGTTGGAATATCATCCCATGTATCAAAAGGTCATGGGTTCAATTCCCAGTCAGGGCATATACCTAGGTTGCAAGTTTGGTCCCCAGTCGGGGTGCATACAGGGGGCAACCGATCGATGTTTCTCCCTCACATTGATGTCTCTCTCCCTCCTCATCCTGCTCCCTCTCTCTCTAAAATCAATAAATATATCCTTGGATGAGGATTTAAAACATTTAAAAATCTGCTACGACAGTAGATCTTAAGCACTCTGAGCAAAGAAAAAGAAAACAGGTAAATATACGAGGTGAGGGATGTGTTCATTAACTCAAGGGGGAAAGCCTTCCACAGTGGATACTTACATCACATCATCACATTAAACATCTTCCCGTTTTACCTGCCAGTCAAGCCCCCATGAACCGAAGGGAGGTAAGACGACCTGACGTGAAGAGAGAGGCAACGCTGACGAGTGCCGGCTCGAGCCCCCGGGGTGGAAGCTGCCTCACTGTGCAGGACAACGAGGCTGCTCTGAGAATGGCGGTTTCCTCTCCCAGCAGCCCACCCACACCCAGCTCCCTGTGTACAGGCGCCGTGAGCGCTCCCGCACCCAGGTGCCCCCGGACCTTTGCCATTTTTAGGCACGGAAAGGTCCGCCTTCTCCCCTTTCCTACGTGAGCATTTGCATCAGGAAGGATCCCAGATGCCTGGGAATTTGTGGCGGCATGGATGCCCTAGCTCCCTGGCCTCCTGTATCTGTGTCCTTTTCTGTCCCCTGTGCTTTCCTGCAGGATTGAGCTGAGGGACTGGAATATCCCACCGTTGTTTAGTCTCCTTTCCTTGAAGTCCTTCTTCCCCACGCCCCTACAGGGTCACTTTTGCACTAATATTTAAGAGTCTGCTTCCGTTGGCATCACATCCAAGAGACCCTCAAAAGCAACAGTTCTGTCAAGGCATCTGCGTGGACAGACGAACACAGGGCAGGAATAGTTGTTCCTCGATGGAAGCAGAGAGACATCAGCCCTGCTTTAACCATCTACTTCTCTTTTTGTTCAGCCTGCAGTTTTTCTCATATAGCAATTCGTTGGAAAAGAGAAGTAAATTCTTACAAAATTCTCTTCCTATGGCCCCACAACCCGAAGAACTGAGTTCACCCTGAGATGTTCACATATCCTGGTAAAATTTCACACTCCTGTTTCCAACGTAAATTATAAAAGATCTATGATATTGGTCTGGAGGAGTCTCACTGAGCAATGATACAGCTTTACACAGGCACCAGAAAGAACGCCTGCCCTTGTGGCAAAGTTAGGTGATGAAATTCATTATTGGTCTGCACAGAACGGGAGTATAGGGTCCCTTCTGGGCAGCTTTGGGGCATGCATATACCGGGTGCAAACAGCTTATCTCTGCTTAGAGATTTGTTATTCTGTTTAGAATTGTGGTGGCATAAGTGTGAACTCAGAAAGTACATTTTAAGAAATGATATGCACACCCACTTGGATGGCTATAATAAAATGAAAGGAAATTAACAAGGGTTGGCAAGGATGTGGGGATATTGGAACCCACATATATGGCTGGTGGGAAGGTAAAATCGTGCAGCCACATTGGAAAACTGTCTGGCAGGTCCTCAAAAAGTTAAACATAGAGTTGCCATATGGCCCAGCAAGCCTACTCATAGGTAGAACCCCATGGAAAGCAGGAACTCAGTCACTTGTACACTCCTGTTAATAGCAGCACTAGTCAGAGTAGCCGGAAGGTACCAACAACCCAAGTGCCCATCAACGAATGGATGGAGAAACAAGGATGGTCTATCCATACAATGGAATATTATTCAGCCATGAAAAGGAACAAAGCCCTGACACCTGCTACATCACGGATGACCCTTGAAATCACGATGCTGAGTGAAAGAAGCCAGACGCAAAAGACCATATGTTGTGTGATTCCATTGGCAGGAAATGTCCAGAATAAGCACATTAATGGTTTGCAGGACCTGGTGGGAGAGCGGAATGAGGACTGACTGCTTAGTGGGTATGAGGTTTCATTTTGGGTGTTTTATTAGTGGCGATGGTTGCACAGCCTTGCAAACTGTACACTTTAAAAGGGTGCAGTTATGGAATGTGAATTATATATTAGTAGAAATGGAAGAAAATAAGTTACACCGAGCTAAAGATATAAAAGTTTTTCTACTTCTTCCCTCTCACACCTCTCTAGACTTCCCACCTCATTTCTGATACTTCCATGCTCCTTGACTCTCTCAGATCTCAGACCTGTCCAAGGAAACATTCATTCCTGGTGTAAACTATGTTCCTAGAGCTGGAGTAGCAGTCACGCCCCAAACCAGCTAATACAACATAAGAACATTTTCAAATAGTAGTATTTATTTTGCAAAGATTCCCCAGAGAATATCTTCTTTGAAAAAAATGAATTAGTCCTTGCCGGGTAGCTCAGTTGGTTAGAGCGTTGTCCCCATGTGCCAGGGTTGTGGGTTTGATCCCTGGTCAGGGCTCATGCAAGAACCAGCCATTGAATGCGTAAATATGCGGAGCAATGGGTTGATGTTTCTCTTTCAAAAAATCAATAAAAAGATTCATTGAAAAAACAAATTATACCAGCATAGACTCCAGTGACAACCTTTAACCGTCTTGGCTCTTTGGAGTACATGGCAGAGAGGCTCTGAGTTGCTGAGAGAAAGGATGATTAAGCATCTAGGTGCCATAAAGTTTGGATGAGCTCCTGTTTCAGCTTTAAGCTACCAAAAGCCCCAATCTTTACGAGAATCTCTGAGGACAGAATCTTAGTCAACTCTCCTTGGAAAAGCAACATCAGAGAAAAAGAATTTAATACTCCCTTATTTTTGAGAACCTTCAAGTTTTATCAAGTCCTTGATGACACATATCCCCAAGGTAACTTGAACTCCATGGGTCCCAGTCCCATTTGCCAAGCCAGTCACACAAACTTACCCCCATGTTTCACGAAACTCCAGCATAGTTTTTCGTTATGAAAGATGACAGACAACGCACCTCAGGGTGTTTTACTCACCAGGATTTTCAGGAGTGGCTTAGAGGTCATCTTTCCTAAAAGGCACTGGTTCCTCCCAAAGCATTGAGAGAGTGAGCACTCAGGTTCTCCCTGTACCTTTTAATCAAAAGGGATCCCTTGCCTCGAGGTGGATACAATTGGTCAAAACACCTCTTCTCTCACTATTGTACCTGTTTTTACTGAGGAAGCTCCAGGAGCATCGCGGATATCTAGAAAACAGGAGGCAAGAAGAGTAGTCAGTTCTGACGCCTGGTGTGGCTCAGTGGGCTGGGCATTGCACTGCAAACCAAAAAGCCACTGGTTTGATTCCCGGTCAGGGCACACACCGGGGTTGTGGGCCAGATGCCCAGTTGGTGGCATTGTGAGAGGCAGCTCTCCCTCCCCTCTCGATGTTTCTCTCCCTCTCTTTCTCCCTCCCCTCCCTTCTCTCTTAAAGTAAATAAATAAAATCTTTAAAAAAATAGTAAAGAAAAGTAGTCATAGTGGGAACCTCAGGGGCATAGGTGTTCATGTTCTACTTACAGACTTTATGGGAAGCAGAGAATAGAATGTCTCACTGGGTCTCCAAATGAGGGCCAGGATGTTAGATTATGCTTCTTAATACTCCTGGAGTTTGATATTGTTATTAACAAAAATATTTTTATTAACACAATATTATTAACAAAAATATTTATGAGTGACACTTCTAATTTCTCCCCTCTCTTGCCAATTTTCCCTAACCTGGGATAGGGCACTACCATTTTGTTTTGTTTTTATTTTATTAAAAAAAAATTTATTATTTTTTATTCTTCCCCTGAGAATGTGTTCATTGATGAGAGAGAGAGAGAGAGAGAGAGAGAGAGAGAGAGAGACATTGATGCGAGAGAAACATCGATTGGCTGCCTGCCGAATACACCCTGACCAGGGATCAAACCCGCAGCCAAGGTATGCGCCCAACCGGGGATTGAACCCACAACATTTTGGTGTATCGCATGATGCTCCAACTAACTGAGCCACTCAGCCAGGGCTGTTTTTTATTATTATTATTATTATTATTATTGTTATTATTTATTGGTTTTGGGTGCACAGCTCAGTGGTTAGACAATCACATAATTTACATAGTGTTTCCCTTGATATTTCCATTATCCCAACTGGCACCATACATAGCTATCACAATATTATTTAACTATATTTCCTATGCTTTACTTAATTCCCCATGACTATTGTGTAGCCCCCATTTGTGCTACTTAAGTCCCTCACCTCTTTCACCCAGGAGCACTGCCATTTTGCAAATATTTCTTCCCGTTTGGTAGGTTGCCCTTTCATTTTGTTGATGGTTTCCTCTGCTGTGTGCATGCTGTTTAGTTTGATGCAGTCCTACTTACTTATTTTTGTCTTTGTTTCTTGTGCTTTTGATGTCATCTCTGAAAAATTGTTGCCAACGCCAGTGTCAAGGGGATTTTCCCTTGTTTTCTTGTAAGTTTTATGGTCTGGAAGCCTTATGTTTAAATTTTTAATCCATTTAGAGTTAATTTTTGTGAGCAGTGTAAGACAGGGAACCAAATTCATTCTTCTGCATGTGGTTATCCAGTTTTCCCATCACCCTTTGTTGATGAGATTATCCTTTTCCCATTGAGCATTCATGGCACCCTTGTCAAATATTAACTGATTGTATATGCAACAGTTTATTCCTGGGCTCTCTATTCTGTTCCATTGATCTATATGCCTGTTTTTATGCCATAACCATGCTGTTTTGATTACTATAGCCTTGTCATATAGTTTAAGATCAGGGAGTATGGTATCTCCAACTTTGTTCTTCTTTCTTAGGATGCTTTGGCTGTTCAGAATCTTCTGTCTGTATCGTACACCTTTTAGGATTGTTTTATTTCTGTAAAAAATGTCATTGGCATTTTGATAGAGGTTGCATTGAATCTATAGATGATGGGCAATATGGACATTTTAACAATAATTCTTTTGATTTGTGAGCATGGGATATCTTTCCATTTCTTTGTGTCTTCAATTTCTTTCATCAGAGTCTTGTAGTTTTCAGTGTAGAGATATTTCACTTCCTTGGTTAAATTTATTTCTAACTATTTTTTTTGTGTGTGTGCTGTTGTGATTGGGATTGTGTTCTTTAATTCTTGTACAGATACTTTGTAGTTAGTGTACAGGAATGAAACTGATTTCTGTATGTTGATTTTATATCTTGCAACTTTACTGAATTTGATTATTAGTTCTGTTTTTGGTTGAGTCTTTAGGATTTCCTATATATAAGAGAATATTATCCTTAAATAAAGACAAATTTAATTTTGTTATAATTTGTAATTAGCAATAGGTTTCACATATTACGTGCTTATCATGGAAATTACTGCCAAGACTAAAGAAAATCATACAGAAAAGTTTTAAGATGCAAAGGTAACACAGAAGGTATAGAAAATAAAGGAAATTATGAAGAAGCACCATCCTAGGATTTAAATATACTGTAAAAAGCAATAAATCTGAATTATAATCATGGCTCTTGGAGAAATCAACTAATTCAATGGCCATCTATTAGTCCACCTCTTTAAAATGTTTATAATAATACCCACTCTGTGGGTGACCATTTAACTTCTTCCTTTCCCGTTTGGATTCCTTTTACTTCTTTGTCTTGCCTGATCGCTCTGGTTAGCATTTCTAGTACCATGTTGAACAGGAGTGGTAAGAGTGGGTACCTGGTCTTGGAGGAAAAGATTTCAACCTTTTACCATTGAGTATGATATTAGCTGTCAGCTTGTTGTAGAGGGTCTTTCTTATGTTGAGGCACATTCCCTTTATACCCACTTGGCTGAGAGTTTTTACCTCAAAAAGATGTATTTTGTTCAGTGCTTTGTCTGTATCTGTTGAAATGATCATGTGATTTTTATTCCTCATCTTATGAATGTGATTATCACAGTTATTGATTTATGTATGTCAATTCATCCTTGCATCCCAGGAATAAATCCCACTTGATCATGGTATATAATCCTTTTAATGTGCTGGTGAATTCAGTTGCTAACATTGCGTTGAGAATTTTTGCATCTATAGTCATCTGGGATATTGGCCTGTAGTTTACTTTTCTCGTAGTGTCCTCACCTGCCTTTAGTATCATGGTAAAATGAGTGTGGTAGTGTTTCTTCCTTTTCAGTGTTTTTGGAAGAGTTTGATTAGGATGGCATTGTTTCTTCTCTAAATGTTTGGCAGAATTCACCAGTGAATCCATGTGGTCTTGGGCTTTCTTTGTTGTGGTTGAGGTTTTTTTTTTTTCCTCCTTAGTGATTCATTCTTTTTGCCCATTATTGTTCTGTTCAGATTTTCTGTTTCTTCATGACTCAGTTTTGGTTTGTAGACTCACACAAAAGCCTTCTCATCTGTAGGTGTGGTCTAAGCCCATGTTCTTCAGGGGTTTCCAGACCACAGTCAAGACAGGCTGGAACCAGTGCACTGTCTCCCGCAGGTCCCGCAGCTGGTACTGAGGTCTGTGCGCCCCTGACCTGATGCGCAGGCAGGTGAGGCTCCTCCCTGGCCCCTTGGCAGGTGGTGCTGGATCCCATGACTCCCACTGAGACACTTTCATCGGCAGATGGATGCTGAATCTTTGTTGTTGAAGGAAGGAACAAAAACAAGGCATGTTTTATGCCACCATGATGTTTGGTTTTTTATTACTTTCTCAGTTTGTATGGGTTCTGGATTCCCATTTTCAGCAGAGCAATAATGATACCCTCAGTTCTCAGGCATGGAATCAGACATCAGAGTGTCATACTGTGACCTGGAGTCATCCCAGCCTTTATGTTGACTGAGGGGGACGGTTTCAGGCCTGATACTGAAGAGGACGAAGGGGTCAGAGTGAAGGGAAGGACCGGCGCTTCCCATTTTTCACTGCAGTGGGGACATGCTCACCCATCGCTCTGTGTTAACCATGCCTTTTATTTTCTACCTCTGACGCTTTGACACGCGGGGACCTTGCTGCCTTCAGGGGGATTCCCCTGCCAGGCTTAGCAATTCCGAGAGATCGGCAGCAACTCCCTCTGGAGCACGCCGCTCAAATGCAACCTAACCCGCCGGGAGCCCACACTCCCAACCACCTCCTTCATTGGCCTCTCGCACTCGGGGCCTCTCTTCCCCTGCCCGCATCACCCCAGGGCCGGGTCCCAGATAACCTGCGCAGTCTCTATGCCCCCGTCTAAAGCCTGTTGACTCCCAGAGAAACCAGAATAAAGGCTCGTTCCCTCCGGCTGCTTCCTGACTCATGAGGCTCTGCGTGGCACAGGGTGCCCCCAACTGCTTGGGAACTGTACCAAACTATCTCTCTAGTGACAACTGTCTCTTCATCCCATGGCCTTGCGGCACCTCAGATTTTCTATTAATACCTCTATTTTAACACACTGTCCCCCACCTACATCATCGAGGCCTCCTCGGAAGCCCCGGTGAGAGTCTTGTTCTCATGTCTCCATTTCCCTGCACCCGAAGAGTCACGCCCGTCTGTCTGTCTCCTGGATTCCTCCTCCCCCTGCCAGGTCCCATCACAGGACAAGGAATATGTGCATCGGGGAGGAAACCTGAGGCTGCCCTGCTCACCTGTGATCACCAGCTGCAGAGGTTCGCTCTTCTCGGACCACTCGTGGGAGCCCATTGTCTGGTAGGCACAGAAGTACGTGCCAGCAGTTTCAGGCTCCAGACCCACGAGGACGAATTCAGCATCGTATCCTGCCGAGTGCTGCTCCTGCTTGTACCCAGGGTCCTGCAACTTCCCCAGCATGGCCGTCACATTCTGGAAGTGACAGTGGCACTTCAGGGTCACATTAGCACGGCGCTCAACCACCGGTCCCGGTAAGGCTTTGAGGGAGGGTTTGGGAAGTTTCTCTGGAAAGAATTCAGAATTAGTTGGACTCTATCCTTTTTCTTTAATTTTTTTTTCTTTTTAATCCTCACCCAAGGATATATTTATTGATTTTAGAGAGAGAGGAAGGGGGGGGGTGGAGAGAGAGAGAGAAACATTGATGTGAGGGAGAAACATCAGTCTGTTGCCTCCCATATGTGCCCCGAGCGGGGGTCCAACCCGCAACCGAGGCATCTGCTCTGACCAGGAATCAAACCTGTAACCTATTGGTGTCCTGGGCAATGCTTCAACTAACTGAACCATCCGGCCAGGGATAAAATTTTATTATTCAATTATAGTTTACATTCAATATGTTATATTAGTTTCAGGTGTATAGCATGTGGTTAGACAATCATATCCTTTACTTGACTCTTTATCTTGATGACCACAAACTCTCCCCCAGAATTCGGATAATGAAAGGTAAAAGGTCATATGATTCAGCCATCAAAAATAATGAAATTTTGCCATTTGCAGCAACGTGGATGGATCTAGAGGGTATTATTATGCTGAGTGAAATAAGTCAGACAGAGAAATACAAATGCCATATGATTTCACTTCTGTGTGGAATCTAAAAACAAAATAAATGAACAGACAAAACAGAAACAAACTTGTAGATACAGCGAACAGATTGAAAACTGTCGGAAGGGAGGGGGGTTGGGGGGCTGGGTGAAAAAGGTGAAGAGATTAAGAAGTACAAATTGGCAGTTACAAAACAGTCACAGGGAGGTAAAGTGCAGCACAGCGAATACAGTCAATAATATTGTAACAGCTGTGTACAGTGCCAGGTGGGGACTAGATTTATTGGGGGGATCACTTTGTAAGTAAGGTATGTAATTGTCTAATGACTATGTTGCACACTTGAAACTAATATAATATTGTATGTCAACTGTAATTGAAAATGATTTTTTAAAAAAAGTCATGAAACTTGGGGTGCAGAAACAGAGTTTATGTGGAAGACAACTCACCATTCTTGTGTTCATCTTCAAAGCCCAGGCAAAGCCCTGGAAGAGAAACTCTCATGAGAGATAAATGAAGTCCTTGTCTTTTAGCAGCAAGGAGGCAGAGAACGCATGACCGGTTTGTTCAAGATCTGCTGTGTTCCTTGCAGGTATTTCCCTGGGTTTATTTTGTACCTTTTACTTTTGTTCCATTGTTTGTCCTTCAGAAGTTAGGTTTATAGAGAGCCTTCCAGCAACCCTTTCTGATTTATTGCATTGAGAGCTGTAACAAAGCTTTTGCGATTAGTCAGTCCTTTTGCCCTCTCTAAATGGAACATTTACCTCTATTTTCCTTTCATATTTTCTTGGATTGTCATGTTTATCCTTACCACTTCAATGATCAATGGTTATTTTACTGTAGAGTGTTGGGGAGGGTTTTCTCCCTCAACCAAATGGAAAGAGTTTGTGGTACAGGAAGTGAATAGGGGAGAATGAAGTCAGCCTGCGGCTGCTCAGCATGGTCTGCCCTGTAGCTGGAGGTCTGGGGTATGGTGACAACCGCCATCTCTAAAGTTCAAGTGTATGTGTGGGAGGAGCATTACCCCAAAGGGAAGAGCTGTACCCAGAAGGAGGAAGGAACTGGGGCAGATCAGTCCTGATACCCCCTCCACACACCGCCCTCACGAAGGAGGAGCTGGGGGCTGAGGGAGGCGAAGCTGTTGGTCCAAAGTTGAGAGAGCTCCTCCGAGCCCAACCCAAGATTATAATTCAGGTCGTTTTGTTTGTTTGTTTGTTTTTCTTTTTCTTTTGTTTTTACAGGCTAAGGGCTGTTTGATTGCATTATGTTCAAGTCGAGGACAGTTAAAATCAGGCTGAGGATAGATAGGGCTGGTCAGAAAATTTTCTTCTTAGCTGTCACCCCCAGTCATTGCTCTTCTCGGCACCCCTGGTTCACACCCAAACCTGTAGCTTTTCACACCCTGTAGACCCTGCCCTCCTACAGGCCAATGGAACATCCATGTCAAGACTGTGGTGTTTGGAGGATAGGTTTGGAGATCCCATCCGAGCTCCGAATGTCTCAGCTGAGTAAACCCAGGGTGCCAGCACAGTCTCTGAACCTTGGGTTCCTCCTCTTTTTGTGTGAACATCGGAACGAAGACATGAGGATATCAGAGCCCACAAAAGCCTGACCGGAGCCACGTGTCCAATCCACAGATGTTATTATTGTTTCTGTACTTGCCATTTTTCCCGTGGTATCCCCACTCTACCGTGGATTTTCTCACCTACCTAAACCCATCCCTCCCAGTCCTGGAGACTCACCGAGGCAAAGCAGGGACAGGAATCCGGTGATCATAGCGTCACTTTTACCCAGACAAAGATCCTGTCTTCAGTTTTACAGTTAAAGAAGGGGGACTGGGGCAATGGAAGTTCTCCAACTGCCCACGTTGTCCCTAGGATGCGTGGGGAGACGTTTTCCTCTGACACTCTGGTTCTCCACACCACCTGGTGTACAGTTTCCTTCTCACAAGCAACTCAGGAAACCAGAAGCCATCAATGACAACATCTTCCCCATAATCCAGTGTGTGTGGCTATGGCTCCACCCACCCCAAGACCTTACCTCATCTGAAGTCGTGCCCAAGACACTTTCTTTCTTTTTCTATTTTTATGTATTGATTTTTAGAGGGGGGGGGGAGGGAGGGAGAAAGACAGAGAGAAACGTTAGTTTGTCGTTCTGCTTATTTATGCATTCCCTTGTTAATTCTTATATGTGCCTCCACCAGAGATCAAACCTGCTACCTTGACTCATGAGGACGATGCTCTAACCAATTGAGCTATGTAGCTAGAGCCAAGACATTGTCTTTAAAATTTTGGGTGGAGGGAATAGTAATAGAGTCACACACACACACACAAATAGTATACAGAGTTTCCATGTACCCATCAGCCAGCTCCCTCCTGTGGTAATATAACTATAGTACATTATCAAAACCAGAAAATGGTATTGGCACAATACAGTGGCTGGGCACATACATAGTAACATCTAAAATGCTGGGATCTCTGTACCCCCAAGAGCAGGTAAGTTAACAGAACAACAACAAACAGGAGTGAATGTGTCTGCCTTGGAGGCTGAGCAAACTTGTCCCCAGTAAACCATGACAAATGGGTCACGCAACAATCAGACTTTTACTGTGCTACCTTTTTTCATTAGAGAAAGTAATCAAAGCACATTGAAAAACTTCCATTCAATTTCTTCTCCAATGGGAAGAGCATAATCCCATTTTTAATGTGCTAAGGACGAAATGTTGACGACTTGAAGTAGTTCCTCCAAAGAAGTACAACTTTCATTCATCTTTCCTCTCCAGCTACTCATTGCTTTCTAAGTGTTAACCCAAAAATAAAAGGGCCTTTCAAAGTGAGAGGGAATAAGCATTTATTTGAGATCAGTAAGAAGAGCTATTTATGTATCTAGGAAGCACTGATGCGGACAGACGCTCAAGTAGTGCTGTAACTTGGAGACAAAGGTAATGGGTGTTTATGAGAAAGGGAAGGGGACAATTACACCAATGGGAGGAAGGCATTTCTTTTTTTTTATGTGAAAAATGTCATTTTATTTTATAAGTACACAATAGTTTAGTGCATGATGTCATAATGTATTTAATATATTGCGGGACATGTAATTCCAAGTTTGGGCTATTGTATAAATGTGCACAATAGACATACTTGTATGTATGTTTTGAGCGCACATGAATACTGAATTTGAACAAAATTATTTGAGTATAAGCTTCTTGACATTTTCTGATAAATATTGATGGTATCTTTCAGAAAAGCAGTATCAATTTGTACTCCAAACAGCAATATATGAGATCTTGTTTTTGCCCCCAACTTGCCTATTTGAAAGGCAAAATTAGTATTTCATGGATTATTCAAGTTGCATTGCTTTGATTAGGTGTGAAGTTGAATTTCTCTTATTGAGTCTCAAAAATCAAAAATTTTCAAAAGTCTCTTAGACATTTCCTATGCACACAGAAGTTTAAAAAAATAGGAAGGCATTTCTGCTGGTGCCGATAAGCTAACATAATAACTAATTCTAAACAATGTTTTTAATTTCCACTCCAGAAGTATTCAGTCTAGTAGTCATAATGTCTGCTTTGTTGTTTTTAAAAAATATTTAAAAAATTTTTAAAATATTTCAGAGAGAGTGAGAAAAAAACATCAATTTTGTTGTTCTTTTTCATATACTCATTGGCTGGTTCTTATATGTGCCCGGCCCAGGGATCGAACCCACAACCTTGGCCTATCAAGACGATGCTCTAACCAACTGAACCACCTGGCCAGGGTTTCTGCTGTCTTGTCTTTGCAAACAGTTCTTTGGGACACACGGTTGCTTAGGTCCAGTCCAAACGTTTTTAACATTCCAATGTTTGATGTGAGATGTGCAAGGCAGTTCCTCTGGGGTGGCAGCTCAGCTTCACTTTAAAGTGACTCCATTTATATTATTGCTTTCATAAGTCAGTTATGATAGCTGTTGACTAATGATCGCCTCCCATAACTGGAAACACTGGGGTTGGAATGGGTTCAAGCACAGGTGGATCCAGATGCTCAGATTATGGCATTGAGAATCTGTCCTCCTCCAGGTCCAGGTACTGAGTAGACTTTGTTCTCAGGTTGGTTCTCTTTATGTCTTTAGGCTGAAATGGTGTGCTTGCACCAAAAATCCCAAGACAGACTCACGTTCTTGATCTTGGTTTACACGTTCATACCTAAACTGACAGGCGTAGCCAGTGTGATGGATTACATTGACTGGTGCACAACCAGGAGCTAGGAAGCTGGGTCAGTCCCATTTAACCACAGAGAGTGGGTGAGAGGTAATAGGCCAAAGCCCCAATCAAGACGGTCTTACCAGAATATATGCGGTATTAGTAGTTGGTCCTGCAAAAATCAAGTGTTCATTATGTGATTTCATCTGCCCATATCAGACTGTGCCCCCAGCAAGGGTTATGCCTCCAATCAAAATCTATGGCTTGTTGTCTTTAACCGTGAGGTCACTGAAATAATGTGGAGGTGCTATTATAATAACTATGCATCAGTTTTCTATAGTTATTAGGTCTAATGCCTGGGGGTGTGAAGGATGGGGAGGAAACAATGTTACAAGGACTGAAAATTGTTACCTTTCATCTCAAAGTAGATGCCAGCTCTTCAGATACACAATACCACAGCAGAGGCAGCTAAGAGCTGAGCCAAAAGCCAGGAGTATGTTATGAATTTTCTGAGCGGCAAAATGGATCGGGTCCCCCAGATCAGACTAAAATGACTGGATGGGTTCATTTGTAGAGAAGACAGATTAAGTGGAGAAAAGCTCCAACTCTGGGCCACTCCACAGCTATAAAAGACAACTTGTTTGAAGCTCATATAGGCTCATTGCCCTCTGATTCAACTTCAACCCTGTCCTGCAATTGAATTTTATTTTAGTATGTTTTTTTCAGGAGTTATGCTTCCAATAGATTGCCTGGGGCAAGTGAGTTTTGAGTTTTACTAAGATTTGAAATCACAGTGGATTAATCCTAGCTAGTAATAGGAGTGTGTTTGAAAGCACAAATGCACACACTTTCTCCATATCACTTGGATCAGCTTATTTCTGTTCCACTATCTGCATTTCAATGGGGTAACTTTGTCACCAACCGCTGCAGGTCAGGGGCAGGAAATTACAGTCATTCCACTCCATACAGCTCACAGCGATAGACTGTATTGGGTAAAACAGATCAGAAATTTTATTCTTTGATCAAAGAATAGAGAAGTACAAGCTCATGTTCTAAAGATCCCTTTTCTCTGACTCAGGGTAATTAGGAAAGTCTTAAACGGTTTGGGCGGGGGAGAATGGTTAGGCAGGTTCAGGGACAGGGATTTTAAGGAAGGGTGTTTTTGGATTTCCAAGAAAGCCCATGCAGTTCCCAAACATGCTTGGAACATGCTTGGCCATACATCACGTCTCATTGTAATGTTCAGCCTCCACCCCTGGTTGTGATTTTTAGTATGCTAATGAAGAAAAGTTCCTGAAAAGGTCACTTGGGAAGGGGTGTCAGGCACCATCTTGGGTCTTTCCGGTGCCAACCCGTCATCTCAGCTGTGGTCCTTGGGTTTCTTATCTGGCTCCTAAGAACTAGCCTCCTGGGGATTTCTGTCTTTCCCCGATGATTCAGCTTGCTTTTGTCAGGGGATCTGTTGGAGAGGACACAAGAAAGTTAATAAAGTTTAAAGATTAATAATATGGTGGCACAACCCAGTGACGCCTTGGCTCGTTTACTTCTTGAAAATGAGGCCAGAAGACCCTCGTGTCCATTTCCCACCGAAGCCCTACTCACCACGCTCCAACATAAGCCTGTGCCTATCACCAGATCAAACGCTCCTTTTTAGTTCCTGCCACCTCCGTCCTTCGATTTTTGCATCTTCCTCTTATTACAGAGCGTTCCGTGTTTCAAATCCTGAATCAAACCCCACAGCTTCCTGAAAGTTTTTCAGACCCTGACCCTTTCGTGACCTCTAAGATGGTGCCTGACACCCCTTCCCAAGCGACCTTCTCAGGAACTTTTCTTCATTAGCACACTAATAGTTCTAATTTCTGTTCATCACATGCTATGCCTACAAGCTCATCTTTCTGTCGATGCTGAAGTGAGGACGAGGGGGAGGCGGGAGCTCACCTACCCTCCACTCAGTCTAGCAAGGTGTTCTGAACACAGTGGGCACTGAGTAAGTAATAGGGACCCGGATTTGATGCAAAGCAGGCATTGCTCGCAAACGCTGTAAAATGAGAGTGTTTCTCAATCCTATGAAGTACCACATGGGATCATGACCGGGTCTACAAGACTCAGCGGCAGGCCCTAGTTGGCGATGAGAGGGGATTTTTTCTTTTTGCACAGAGTTTAGCAAGAAGATACTGGAGTGTGGTGCGGGGAGGGTCAGGGGGATTTAACGGACCGGAAGACATTGGCCTAGACGGTCAGGGCACTTTGACCACGCCGGGGCAGTGAACATGGCGCGCACCGTAACCTGCAGACCAGCAGAGGTCACCACGCCTCCTGTCCCACTACGTGCCCGACCCGGGCACGCCGCGTGCTCCTCACGCACGCCAATCCCCACACACGCAGCTCTCATGCGCACTCTGCATCCTGGTAGCCCCTCACGCACGCCGCTCCGCAAAGCACGCCGCTCCGCAAAGCACGCCGCTCCGCAAAGCACGCCGCTCCCACGCACGTTACGCACGCTCAGCTCCTCGTACGCACCCCTTTCACCTCGCGCATGTGCAATACGTTGGTCTGGAGCGTGCGTGCGTTGTGCGCCTTCTGGAATCTTCTATGCCCT